CACTACATTCCAACCTGAGTGATAAAGTAGAGACCCTGTCTCAAAAAATGGGAGAAGAGAGAAAAGGATAGGGAGAGAAGGAAAGGGAAAGAGATGGGAGGGGAGGGGAGGGGAGGGGAGGGGAGGGGAGGAGAGGGGAGGGAGAGGAAAGGGGAGGGGCATGGGGAGGGGAGGGGAGGGGTGGAGCAGGGGGAGGGAAGGGGAGGGGCATGGGGAGGGGAGGGGGAGGGGCATGGGGAGGGGAGGGGGAGGGGTGGAGCAGGGGGAGGGAAGGGGGCATGGGGAGTGGATGGGAGGGGCATGGGGAGGGGTGGGGTGGAGCAGGGGGAGGGAAGGGGAGGGGCATGGGGAGGGGCATGGAGAGGGGAGGGGAGGGGAGGGGTGGAGCACAGGGAGGGAAGGGGAGGGGCATGGGGAGGGGAGGGGCATGGGGAGGGGCATGGGGAGGGGAGGGGAGGGGTGGAGCAGGGGGAGGGAAGGGGAGGGGCATGGGGAGGGGAGGGGCATGGGGGGGAGGGGAGGGGTGGAGCAGGGGGAGGGAAGGGGAGGGGCATGGGGAGGGGAGGGGAGGGGCATGGGGAGGGGAGGGGCAATGGGGAGGGGTGGAGCAGGGGGAGGGAAGGGGAGGGGCATGGGGAGGGGAGGGGCATGGGGAGGGGACTGGCATGGGGAGGGGAGGGGAGGGGCATGGGGAGGGGAGGGGCATGGGGAGGGGAGGGGCAATGGGAGGGGTGGAGCAGGGGGAGGGAAGGGGAGGGGCATGGGGAGGGGAGGGGCATGGGGAGGGGAGGGGCAATGGGGAGGGGTGGAGCAGGGGGAGGGAAGGGGGGGCATGGGGAGGGGAGGGGTGGAGCAGGAGGAGGGGAGGGGAGGGGGCTGGCATGGGGAGGGGAGGGGAGGGGCATGGGGAGGGGAGGGGCATGGGGAGGGGGGGAGGGGCAGGGGGAGGGGAAGGGAGGGGAGGGGAGGGGGATAAATCTGGAGATACTAACTGCAGTTCTCTGTTTTCTTTCCTGGGCAAATCACATCCATTAACACATCAGCTAACTTTCCCAATTTTGTTTTGTTTCTTATTAAAAAGTGGAACAAGACCTAACAGTTGTGAAACAATCTAAGCATAAAATCTTACAGGCTTTTACATTTTTTTTATTTGATTTTTCACAACCATGTGACCCACATCCTCATGGAAATTTTTTCAGTGACTCACCTTTATCAAATCTGCCCTAAGCATTCAGCTTAATTTTTCTTAGAACAATTTCTTTTCATACTTCCTGGGTTTAGTAAATATCTCATTAAATTACATAATTACAATAATAAGTACAACAGGCATTAACCAGTGAGGAACAAACCCAGCTGATTCTTGGTAGCTGTGCAGCTCAGCTGGGGGAGCAGAGGCATGGGTGTCCTGACATGGCCCGCTGGTCTCATGCAGTCAGTGAGGAAACTCATCAGGGGAGCTAGTTAGGAGAGTTTCAACTATACTGATAAACGAATCAACAAACCTTCATTTATCTTTTAAGCCTTGACTATACTTTAATTTCGGTGGCATTTTGAGTGCATTAAAAAACACAATTTTTGAGCCATTCATTTAAAATACAGGAATCTACATTTAAAATACAGGAATCTACTCTACAGTCATTAAAGTCTGTCTATGCACCTAAAGCATTATATTTAAAACTTCATAAGGCATGAGATAAGTAAAAAAAAAAAGAAGAAAGAAAGAAAAACAAAACCCACAAACACTTAAGATTCACGTGCCAATGAATAAGCATTGGTGTCTGTAGAAAGTGGTCCCACAAACCTGTGAAAAACGGCTTTGTCATGAGCTGTGCCTCCACCAGCAACAGCAACGACTAACCCTCACCTAGTAGTCCCTGAGTGCCAGGCACTGTCCTAAGCAGTTTACATGTATGAACTCATCATCATGCTATCAATCTCATGATGTAAGATTACTATCCTCATATTACAAATGAGAAATGGAGGCACAGAGTATTAACTTGCCCAAGTTATCCAGCTACTACATGGCATGGCTGGGAGGTGAACTCAGGCAGCCTGGCTCGTAATCACTATGTTACAGGGCAAAGGCACAGCTGACAGAAGGTAACTCCTAGTGATGTTTCACCCTGAACGTGATCTGTCAGCTGTGACAGGAAGTGACAGGCATTCACTTTCCTAGGCAGGAGACACTCAGTCATCACCCTATGCTCAAGGACGTGGAAAGCACCCAGTGTTACAGGTCTGTTTCCACCTCATTCCATTATCTCACTTTGAAGGCAGATGACGCACCTTAGGTATGAAAACCTGGCAAACAAAACGTGCCCCAAACGTGTTCTTACAATGAAAGGCAAAAGGAGCACTGGGTCCCCAGTCAAGAGACCTGGGCGTGTGTTTCAACTCAGCCACACACTTGCTATGTGATCTTGAGCAAGCCACTTAACCTCTCTAAGCCTCAACCTTTTAGAATGAAGGGAGGCTCTCAGTGGTTTTCTGACACTTTTAGGAGCACAGATCCCTTTCTTTACTGGGAAGCCCAATACTTTGAAAGAGAGGAAACCAGTGGTTCTCTAGCTGCAGGTACCCAGGGAAGGCAGCCCCACTGTGCCTCCTGGCTGGCCCCTCCCCTTCCCCTGGGTGCTGGAAAATGACTGAGACTCAATCATATGACACAAGGCACACCAAGCAGACAGGCACATGGTGAGCAGAGGTTCTGGGGTGACGAGGAAGGCACAGAATGGCCAGAACACGAGGCTCGCACAGTGCAAATGCCAGGAAGCAGCTGCCCAAGGAAGAGACCAAAATCGTATCGTGAGAACCTCAAATATCAGACCAAGGTGAGAATCTGAAATATCAGACCAAGGTGAGAATCTCAAATATCAGAGCAAGGTGAGAACCTCAAATATCAGACCAAGGAGCTTGGAGCTGCACCTGCAGGTGGAGGGCTACTAGCGATGCTTCTGGTGTAGGGCGATGACATGATCAGAGCTGTCTGAAGATCGAAAACAGGAGAAAGCAGGTGGATGGGAGAAGAGCAGGACCAAGAGGGTGGGGCTGTGGCCACAAGCCAGGATGAGGAAGGAAGGCAGGGCTCACTACAGCGATCACCCTCACAAGTGCTGGTCTTCTGAGGGCTCAGTACCTCTGCCATTCAGCTCCAATGTAACCTATATATATCTCCTATATATCCCACTCAGCTTCAATATAAACCTATGCCTTAAGAACTAAAAACACACAGAAAATAACTTTTATCATACTGAATTCAACCACAAGGGTACAAAAAAAGAAAGCAGTTACAGGAAAGAAGCTGCTTCTTAAACAGTGTGTCCTTGGATAGCTTCTAGGAACACCCCAGCCCCATCCTGAAAAACCAGTGGGACCCCTTATGGAGCTCGGCTGGCCAACTGCATAGTGACCACTGGCCTGGGCTCTACAGGACAGCAAGAAACTTACAAGTCTCCCACAATGCACTGCCACTACAACCTTTCTCTCTCTCTTTTAATTCCTTTTTTTTTTTTTTTTTTTTTTGAGACAGGGTTTCACTCTGTCACCCAGGCTGGAGTGCGGTGGTGTAAACTCGGCTCACTGCAGCCTTGACCTTCTGGCCTCAAGCGATCTTCCCACCTCAGCCTCTAAGTAGCTGGGACCACAGGCATGCACCACCACACCCAGCTAATGGGTAAACAAAATATGACACATTCATGTATGGGAATATTATTTGGCCATGAAAGGAAATGAAGCACTGATACTTGTTACAATATGGATGAATCTTGAAAATATTATGTTAAGTAAAAGAAGCCAGACACAAAGGTATGTACGGTGCCATATTATGAAACGTCCACAATAAACAAATGCATAAAACAGGGACAGTGGCTCACGCAGTCCCAGCACGTCAGGAAGCCAAGGTGGGATTGCTCGAGCCCAGAAGTTAAGACCAGCCTGTGCAAGAGAGAGAGAGACCCTGTCTCTATGAAAATAATCAAAATATTAGCTGGCCACGGTGGTGCACACCTGTAGTCCCAGCTACTCCAAGAGCTGAGGTAGGAGAATAGCTAGAGCCCAGGAGTTGAAGACTGCAGTGAGCTATGATCACACAACTTTACCCCAGCCTGGGTAACAGAGCAAGACCTTGTCTAAAAAAAAAAAAAAAAAAAAAAAAATTCTTAGAGACAGAAAGTTGATTAAGAGTTGCCTACAGCTGACAGGTTTGTAGATGAGAAGGGGCTGGGGGAATGAGAAGGAATTGCTAATGTACTTGATTTATTTTTATACAGATGAAAACATTTAAAAATTGATTATGGTGATGGTAACACAAATTTGTGAATATACTAAAAATCATCGTACATTTTAAACGGGTGAATTGTATGGTGTGTGAATTGTATCTCAATAAAACTCTTCTTTAGAAAAACAACAACAACAACAACAATAAGCCGAGCATAGTGGCACACGCCTGTAGTCCCAGCTACTCAACAGGCTGAGGCAGGAGGATCACTTGAGCCCGTACTCAAGACCAGCCTGGGCAACACAGCAAGACCCCATCTCATAAAAACCAACCAAACAAAAAACCAACCCACCTCTACTCTCACTAGCCCATGCACAAACAGAGACTGGAAATCCAGAGCACAGGACCTGGCCAGCCCAGCGTCTTGGAGAGGAGGCTCGGCCCGAGGCCCAAGAAGCCCCAGCTCTGCAGCCTGACACAACTGTGACCTCGGACACATACTGTCCTTCGGCCAGTTTCGGTCTCTGTAAAATGTCAGCCATATGACCTACTTCACAGAGCCGAGCAATTAAACCGTAGGTGTGAAAATGTCTGGCATAGTGTCAGACATAGAATAAGCATGTCATACAAGCTGAAACCACAATGATCTATGGGAAAGCATGACGTCAACGACAAAGGCCTTCCTCGGTGTAAGACGGTTTTATGACTTCGTTTATAAAATTACCACATACGTTATCAGAAACAACCCATTTTCAGTTTCATATGCTGCTTTCCAAAGACTCACTTGAGCTCACTGCCCCACTGTTTCAAAGAGTAAAAATTAATGGCATTCGGCTGCCCTGGGGCCGGCTGACTTGCGGCCTGTTCTCCCACCAGCTCTCCAGGCACAGTCTCCACAGCTAGGACATTTCTGGCTTTTTCTGCAGAAGCATTTGGGTCTGGGTAAATTAAATCTGGAAAAAAAAAAAAAAGGCAAATAAATGTCAGTTGCTCAAAGCTTCCACACAAAACTTGACATCCTACATGAAACACTGACTTGATATACTATATAAAAATCTAAACCATGTAATACTCTTATTTTTAACGCACACTACCTACAAACATAATCTGTGGGTAACTCTGGTGTTCTAAAACCATTTTCATCTAAATAGATCCATGTTTCTCAAAGTAAGGTTGTGACGTGCTTCAGACCACCAGATATTAACGGTGTTAGCTCAGAGAAAGCAAAGGCTAGAATTTTCCTCCAGTATTGCAGAAGAATAACCCTCACCATAAACCCATCATCAAAGGCCAATCACCTCTACTGATAAGAAACAATCTCCAGGATAAACTGTTAGGTAAGAAGAGCAAAGTGCAGATGACCCTACACAAGGCTCCCTTTTCTCTAAGAAAGTGGGAGAAATACAAATACAAATATATTTGCTAATACTTGTAAAGAGTGACACTGAAAAAAATCAAGTTTGCACATCACAGAATAGCAGTTCAGTAAATTCACAAGCAAACAGTGATGCTAAAGCATGATGAAACGTCGCAACACATCTTTAAAATGTAAGCGTTTACAATATTTCAGGTGGAAATGAGCTGATGTTCAGGATTTACTTCAAAATAGCAATATTTTGTTACTTAAATACATACTAATATTTGCTTCAGATAACATGTTATTTGCTTCAAAATAACAAAGCGGGTTATCAGTGAAACAAGAGGGTAATTATTTTTGAAACCACCCAATAAAACTGGAGGTAATCTTACGTTATTCTTTGTGTATGTTTAAAATTTCCCGTAATAAAAAGTTACTTAAATTTTTTTTTTTACAAAACCATTTCTTTTTTTTTTTTCCCTCCCCGAGATGGAATTTCACTCTTGCTGCCCAGGCTGGAGTGCAATGGCGCAGTCTCAGCTCACTGCAGCCTCCTCCTCCTGGTTTCAACTGATTCTCCTGCCTCAGCCTCCCAAGTAGCTGGGATTACAGGTGCCCGCCACCACGTCCAGCTAATTTTTGTATTTTTGGTAGAGACAGGGTTTCACCATGTTGGCCAGGCTGGTCACAAACACCTGACCCCAGGTGGTCCACCCACTTCAGCCTCCCAAAGTGCTGGTTACAGGTGTGAGCCACCATGCCCGGCCAATAAAAACATTTCTAACTAGAAATACTCTGTATTCTTCCAAATGACATAATCTGCACTGGTGTTTCAGTGGTAGAATTCTCACCTGCCATATGGCATATTCTCTCTGAGATAGGAAATGCTTATAAACAGAATTTAGTATTACTTTACAACAATCAATTTGATCTACACTTCTTTTTAATGTATCTCTGTATCAATACCATCTCTTTCTGCGAAATCAGAATTGACTGCTGACCACTGATATTCAAGAAAAAGTCTTTTCTCTCTCTCTCTCTCTCTTTTTTTTTTTTTTTTTTTTGAGGCAGGGTCTCAGTGAACACGGCTCACTGCAGCCTCAACCTCCCAGGCTCCTGCAATCCTCTCACCTCAGCCTCCTAAGTAGCTGGGACTACTGGAACGCACGACCATGCCCAGCTAATTTTTGTTTTGTTTTTTGTAGAGACGGTTTTGCCATGCTGCCCAGGCTAGTCTCAAATGCCCGGACTCAAGCAATCCTTCCACTTTGGCCTCCCAAAGTGCTGGGATTATAGGCGTAAGCCACTGCACCCAGCCAAGAAAAATTCGTTCCTAATCAGATGCGCACACAATCGGAGTCAACAGGACAGGCCTCTGTAGAGGTCTCTGAGCACTGGCAAAGAAAGCAGAAAGCAGGGAGTGCTGGGCTCTGGGGGCCTGGACATCAACGTCCTGAATGCCGCAGGATGGGCCTGCACTGTGCAGGCAGGTTCTGACCTGACTGACCACAGTCAGGGTAGGAAGGGCTTCAAGAACACACTGAGGAAGTATCCTGGGTGTGGCATGAGTAAACCACCGCTGCGTATCTATCAGGGTAATTAGGCTCCGGCCAGGAGACTCAACACACGGCTCACGGTTAGGGTTCTGACTGGGAAAGGCAAGACGGTGTGCTGGCAACAGAAGAGTTACAAGCCTGGAACAGAGTACCCACTTTTTTTTTTTTCTTTTTAAGACTGGGTCTCAAACTGAGGGTTGGACTGCAGTGGTGTGAGCACAGCTCACTGCAGCCTCTTGAGTCAAGAGGCAAGAAGGTACAAATGACTGCAGATTGCCAGCTCTTGGTTTCCCTATCATGTATCAAGCACCGGGCACTGAGGGCACAAGCACCAATGAGACAGAGCTTTGTCCGTAAACTAAAACACGTCCAGGAGAGAGACTAAGTAAAATAGTAACATGTTAAGCTCCAAGTCACTACAGAATAAACACATTCAGTCCTTGGGATCCAGACCCTTCCTCTGATGGGTCTTAGGGTTCTAGGAGATGCCTGGGGGATGGTCCCACGCTCAGCTTAGCCTCAGCAGTTCCTCTGGGGTTCCCTTTAAGATTTCATTTGGAAAAGAAGTTCCAGAAAACAAAGGAAAAAAAGTGCAAACACCACTAATTCAGCCCAGTCTCCCTACCTACTTTACCTGTCAGGACACTAGAGTCCAGAGCCAGGGCCAGAACCCGGCAGAATACAAATATTGCAAGGCAGGTAGAGATGAGTACACCTACCAGAGGAGGGCACGGTGCTCGGGGGTGGGGGTGCTCAATGTTGGTGAGTGTGTGTGTCAGTCAACGGGCATATGGGGTACGGGCAGCTCAGACTCCTTTACTTCAAAGGCTGCTCTTACGATCATCATCACAATTCTAAGCCAAGTCAGGAAATAAACACAACAAAGTGTACACATTTCTGTTACAGGTTGAGTCTAGCCTCCCCTTCCTGCGTGGGCTAGTAGCAAGGTGATGAATGGGCCCTCTGCAAAATCGCATTGTCAAATGCCCATGTGGCAAAGCGCCTATTGCCAAGAAAACCCCAGGCCTTGCAGCAACCCACAGCCCATACTGGAAATACTTCCTGAGGAACTCAGAGGCCCCGGGGAGGGGTGAAGAAAAGGGACCGGAGACCGGGGAGGAGCATGTCGGAGGACAATTTCTAAAAGTAATTATCTGATTTGAAAAAGCAGCTCTTCCCCAGCTTAATACATTTTTGCTGTTCCTGTTACTTTTGTCTGCTTTTTGATTTTTAAGAGACCATGTGAGATTTACTGAATTAAAAGCAGAGCTGCTGGCTTCTCCTCAATACGTGTCCCAACATTAGCATGCAGGCAACGGCCCCAGGGACCACGCTAAGGGAAGCACAAAGTGGGGCACGGCGACCCTTCCCCAAAGACGTGAGGAGGCTGGACTGGTGCCACTGAAACGCCTTCTGTCTCACAGCTACAGTGGGGAAGGACGGGCTGTGCCTGACGGTTTTTGGTGTTTAGACCTCTGTTCTTTTCAAACGTCTTCAAACGCCTACATGACGACTCTGCGGGAGTTTCTGGCTGCACTGTTCCCATTTCCTAGTTCTGATTCCAGCCCCGCCTCTAAATCCAGTGCGACTCTGGGCAGTCTCAGCCTCCCGTGTCTCTTGCTGCATTCTAACACGTGACGTCGAAGTCTCCTCTAATGGGGCTCCCTGCACAGGGGCGGCTCCTGCCTACATTTGGACTGCCTCAGTGAGTCTCCAACGCCTCTGCTGCCGTCTCAGTCACGGCCAGGTGCTCCGCCAGCAACCTCTGCAGAGCACAGAACTGTGTACAGCGGGAGAATTCTCATAAAACCCAACCCAGGCCTGCAGCTGCATCCAAGACAGGAGGCAAGAGCGCTGGGAAAGGCTTACCCCATATGCATCACAGGACACAGCAAACGGAAGTCTGGGTGTCAACACTGGGAGGTGGAGGAAGACAGAGTGGGCTTCATCCGGAAAAAGAATTTATTTATCCATGTGAGTTTTAATACAGATTGTGAAGGAACAGTCAGGAGGAGTAGAAATATCTTCCAAGTGAGGGCACCGTGTACACCGAAGCATCAAAAAGGAGAAGCGGCCAGCCACCAGGTCCTGAGAGGACCCAGGATGGGTCAGTCCATATGTCTGGTCCCCTACCCCGACCAAGGACACAAATCTGTGAGAACCGAACCCCTATCTGATTTGCTAACAGCTGCATATCCAACGCCCAGCATAGAGGAGCAACGTAATACGTATTGGTTAAATGACCAAATGAATCCAAAAAAGACAGGGACTTGCTGACATGGCATGGGAGGAATGGCCTTCCATGGGCTCAAACAATCGGGCAGAAGGTAGCAAAGGCCCCTGCGGTTCTTGAATGGGTTTATACTCATCATCCCTCCTGACTTCCCTCTCTCCTCCACCTTGCCTCCGACAGACTCCCTGAATGGGAGTGGGGGTTTGCCTCTTTTCCTTTCCACTCCTCCCTGTTCTCCTGCCGTCTGGCTCAGCCACCGTCCGATTCACAGCCACCTGTGCTCACCTGCATCAAGTCCCACCAAACCTAGGCTGAGGATGTCTCTGCTGGCACCAAACTCCAAGCCTGGTCCCGACAGTCGCCTTTCCGACCCTCTCCAGCAGGCTCCTCCCAGACAGAACTGCCATCTAACACCACTCAGCAACTCCCTCCCACCCCGCTCCCACAGTCACGTTCTTTGGCAATTTCACTGAACCTTCAAAGCAGAAGGAACCTGGTTCAGAGAGCATCTTGCTTCACAGATGGGGAAACCACGATGTGCTAAAGGTCCCACAAGCCCTCTCCATGCTGCCTCTCAGACACAACACTGGTTAACTACTGTGACTGATACCTCACACGAACGCATGGCATTGTGCAGCATTTTACAAGGATTACACAAAAGCAGTCTCCTTGATCTCTGTATGGAGTCACGACACTAAAAGATGATATGTAATTCCTGTGGCACCGTCTACGCCGGGCCTGCATTCCACCTGATAGCTTTCCTTCTGGCAGCCCTCTACACCCTGCAGCGAGAGCACAGCGCAAGCTGCCTGAGGACTGAAAGTTGCAGCTACCCCTCCCACGCCATCCCCTGGCACACAAGCTGTTAAGAGTGTAACAGTTCAACTACCCGATGCAGCTGCTTCAGGGGAGGAAAGGTGTGGTCATCCCTCAAACTGTCTTCACAATACAATTTTCTGCAAGAAATACCATCTATATTCAAACAGGCACTTGGGCATTTGAGCCTGCTACGGCCATGAATGCTTCAGTACTCATGAACTTTAAAGAAGTCTTTAAAAAAAAAAAAAGCAGGGCCTTGTTAACCCTGGCTTGTTTTCTTACTGGTTTATGTGGGGAATAAAGTAACAGAAGGTACTGGACACACATCCTGTAATGAGGCTATCAGCCATATGGGTATCCCCTTTGGGTTCTAGCTACCTCCTTCTCAACGGCTATAAAGGTTTGTGGACCCCTCATTGTATCTTTAGGCAAATTATTCGTTTGTGTTGAAACTAGATCCTTATCTTTTCAAACACAGAAGACGATGTGGAATGGTATTTGAGGCATGGCATGCCTTCAGAGGCTACAGAAAGCAGACAGAACAGATATCGACTAATAATAAAGCTGCAAGTTCCAATCACACAGGGAAGTCTCTTACTCAACATAGATTCTAGAAAAAAAATTAATGTAAGCAATTACACAACAGTGCCAGCTCCTTAATGAACATTCAATCCAGCCTTTCCTTACTTACAGACCTTGGTTTTGATCGTGGTTATAAGCTCAGCTAAAATACTTGGCTTCCCAGACTCCTTCCAGCCAGCAATGGCCATGTGATGGTTCCAGCTAATGCTACGTAAGCCAGAGGTTTGTGGGAAAACATCCCCCTTTTTGATGTCGGTACCACCTCCAGGGGCAGCCAGCACGAGCAGGAAAGCTAACACACTCTAGCAACAGAAAACAGAGTCAGAGACAGCTTGGGCCCTTCAATGGCACTAGTGAGTAGCTATGCCAGCCATAAACTGCCTATCATGTGAGACAATTACTCCCAATGTGTTAGTCCTTATTAGTAAGGTTTCCTGTTAATTACAGCTGAACATAATACTAGCCCATTCAAAATGGTATCATCTCATATATATGTATACAGTGTGTATGTGTATATACACATGCATATGGCTCGTTACACTTCACAATGCAGTTTCCATTTGATCCTTATAGCAACCATGAAGGAGGGTGAACAAACTTCAATTCCGAGAGCCAGAGTTTGCCATCCCTGTATTACAGGAAAAGTGACTTACTTAAGAGTCTGATGACTAATAAATATCACCAAGACTCACAGGCCCACAGGCCTTCTTCCATCACGTAGAGCTGCCTTCCAAGATATACAACTAGCTGTCAGTGGAAAACACTAATCCCCCATATCTTTCCCCACAGTGACTTTAGGTGCCAGGAGGGTCCTCATGGGTGACACCCATGAGACTATAAATCAAAATGTTCCAAACAATTGGGTGATCACAAGACAATAGTAGAAAAAAATTTATTTTTAATGCAAATCAGAGTTATAAAAACATTCTTCCTCAATTCTTGCTAGAGTAGGCTGAGCTGAGCAGATACCTACAAGCATAGCTTTAGAAACTTCACAGAGCGCTGCCATATAACATAACACAATTTATCTTTGAACTAGATTTTCTCTCTCATGATAAAACAAAAGGGGCTAAAATACAGTCTTTTCTTCTGACTTCCTGACTTAGATTTTTTGACTTCCTAACTATTATACTCTCACATATTGCTCAGGGGCCCAAAGTTTCATTATTTGATCTTAGAAGCTATCTAAAAATTAATAGAAGACTAAAGTTGCAGTCACTTCTACCTACAAAATCTTCAGAGGCACTCCACTGCTCTTAGGATAAAGTCCAAAATCCCAAGGCCAGCTGTTAAGGCTCTCCCGGGTCTAGCTCTGGGCCCCAGGTGTGCCCCCAGGTTCAGCTGGCTCCCCACAACTGCTTCCAGCCGGCAGCCATGCTGGCGGCAGCGCCGGGAAGGCACGCAGTCCAGCCCTCTCATCTGACTCCTCTCCACCTCATCTCTGACCATCCTCCAGGCCTCGGCTTCGATGCGCTTCCTCAGCGAGGCCCGGACTGCCAGAAGCTATGCACAGTCCACTCACAGCCCATGGTCCCAGCATGCACCCTTCCCTCACATTTCTCTCAGTTTTTTCTCTGCAAAACCACCTTGCTTGACTAGAAATTCTGTGAGGAGAGAGACCAAGCTCATCTTGAGTGTCTACCCGGCTGAATGAAAGAGTGAATGTCACATGGCATTTACTCAAACGCTCAACTCCACGCCTGGAGTCCCCAAACCAAAGGAGGAGAAACAAACACGGGCTTCAGATGTTTTCTCTGCCTCTCCAACCATGGCATTTTGGCTTAGAAGCAGGAAGGACAGGTGTGACAGAGAGACTACAGGGCTAGGCACCCCTTCTTTGTCCCCCTTTCGGTTCAACATCCCTGAATCTTCGCTAGAAAGCAGCACTCTGTGTCCTCAGAACACAGGAACTGAGGCAAGGCGAGCCCCTCCTGTGCCAAAGGCACTGGCTATGCTCATGAACACTGCCTGTTCCCACAGGGTTTCCAAACGTTCCAAGCGACTCCGACACTCAGTTAGGAGCGCCTTCTGATGAAAAGCACTGTAATAGCGGCTTTCAAAACGACTCCGTTACCTATGACTCAACCCTGAACTAGACATAAGGGGCCACCAAGTTGAAAATAAAGGCATAATCTCAGAACATGGGACAGTCTGAGGGCTAAGACAGTCATGAAAGTGACTTGAGAACTCTCACAGAAAATATATCAACAGGCACCAAGTATACATAGCAATTTCTCACTGATAAGAGGGTTAACCTGCTGAAAGATACCAGGACAAGTAAATAAAAGATTGGCAAATTTGGAGATGAAAACGTTGCCTAAGAAGGCATTTGTTTCTAGAGAAATCAGCCCCACGTGTGCCAACACCATCCTTGGTGGGACAGGAAACTCGGATACAGCCCCGTGTTCTGCTGAGCAGAGGGTGCCATGGGTTTTACAAAGTGCAGACAACATCGCTTTATGAAAGCGTTAGAACTAGTCCTTACTGTGTCTATTCCTTTTAATGCACACTCCATGGGTCTTTCAAAAATACTAGTACAATGGCCTGGCCTTTTAGACCTTACCTCGGAACTCAGGAGGCTGTTTTTTTTCCTGGATGTGTTGTTTTCTCTGTATGGAGAGGGGGGTCAAAAAAGAGTCCCATTGAGGGACTGTTCATTTCTCTTCCCAAGTCCACAAGGGGCGTGGTTTCAAAGGCAGAAATTTCCCAGCGACATGCCCGACCCGTCCCCATTCACATCCCCATCCAGGAACCAGAGTTGTCTAACTTGCAAGCGCTGAGGCTAGGTAGATTGCCCAGGTGAGCTTCCTTTGTTTAGAAAGCCCGTGAAAAGCTCTGGGAGGACTGTGGGCCTGGCGGCCAATCTGATATCAAAGTCAAAGATCAATCACTCCAGTGGAAGTTTGAAGGAACTCCTCTCACGGGACAAAAACTTGAATGGGGCGGGAGGAAGTCCCAGATTAAAAGTCCCCCTGCTCCTTACCAGTGCAGACTCCATCTCTGGATGCCCTCCCACAACAGCATGGGAGCTCGCTCGCTCGCTCTCTCGCACGCGCTCTCTCTCTCTCTACCTAATAAATCACTTTTCTGCAAAGCTCTTTGAATCTGATATTTACTTGAACAATATCACTGCGCTGCCTGGGTCTCCTCCCCATTCTTGGGTGAGTGAGAGACCAGGGACCTGGGAAAAGCACATTCGATGGGAAAACAGTGAGCGTCATGGAACGCCCCTGCAGCCCTGCTCCTGTCCCCGGTTACACCATCTTCAGTCTTTGCAGGGGGGTGGGACGAGCAGCAAATAATTGTTGTCCTGTTCTTACTAGAGGTTATCTCTACACTGCAAATGGCCAGGGAATTCCATGGGTAATAGAAATGCCATGAATCCAGAATAGAACGAAATCAGTGTCTGAAGGTTAAAGTCTTCCTAGGAAACACTAGAGAATTACAAGTGGAATGTTCTGAGGACACCTTCCTAGTGTATACAAACACCTGTCAGCCCTGGCAAGTCCACGCAGGCACGACTATTTAGGCCTGAGGAGTGGGAGAAAGGCTGGTCCCACAGTCAGAACCAGGCTTACAGCACCAGCACTTGCTACATGCCGACCTTAGTCATGTCATCTCTTCCAAACGCTTGGCACGGGGCCTTGCCTGATTCCAAGGCCGTCACTGGGCTTACGTCAGCTTTGTCCATGGAGGCTTTGGGTGACTGTGGAATGCTGCCCATCGTTATCACTTTCCTTCTGAATGCGTTTTCACTCACTGCTACGTTAACGTGCGGTATCGAATGGCTTACACCAAGAGCTGACACAGCTCCCCGTTATTTTTGCCTTACCGGTGGTGGTGTCTCTGGCTACAAGACCCTTGGGAAAAGCCCCAGGAGCTGGAGCGGTCCCGCTGCCCCACTTGGCCACGTCAAGGCTGTTACAATATTCCCATCTCTTCTGCTGAAGCTCCTGCAACCAGTAAGTCATGAGCTGGCGATTGGGAGCCTGGAAAGAGAAAGGAGAGAAAACATGTTACGGGCACCAGGAAGACGAAGAGCTTAAAAAATGTCTGTCTCATGGATACAGACTGCTCACCCTGCCACGTGAGAGTTCAGATGAACAGATCAAGGAAATCTCACAAGATTAGTAGCTTTTGCTCCTGATAAGTTGGTCAAGCAAATAGCAATTGTAACATAAAGAACTGAACCCAATTAATAAGAAGTCTTTTTAAGTTCTGAAATTAAAGAATAATGCAGTATAACATTTTCTTCAAAACAGTTTAGGAGGGTGTGAAAACACTACTGCTCCTTCGCTATGACCACCTGTAAATCCCATCTTCGGAAATAAAATCTTACATAGGTCTAAACGACAGCCTTGCCAAATCACATGAAATAATGGTATTTAAGCTCTGTCAGCATCTGAGGATATACAAAGAAAACCCGCAGATCAAAACTAGCTGGCACTCCTATCAGAATGGCTAATATTTCAAAAAGTTGACCATGCCAAGGGTGCACGGCAGCTAGAATTGCATAAGCTGCTGGTGAATGCAACACGCTGTGGCTACTTTAGACGACAGCTTAGCAGTTCCTTATAAAGTTAAACATACATTTACCCACTGACCTGGCAAGCCACCCCTACATAGAGCCACCCGAGAGGAATGAAAACATATTTGCACAAAGACCTGTATGTGAATGTTTACAGAGGTTTTATTCATAATTGCCAAAAAATGAGAACTTCATCTGGTGAAAAGCTTAAAAAAAAACCTGTCGTCCGTCCATACAATAAAATACTATCAGCAATAAAAAAGGGCAAATCAATTCTAACACATGGATAAACATTAAATGCATATTGCTAAGTGAAAGAACCCAGACCCCAAAGGCTATATACTGTATGCTGCCATTTACGTAACAGCCTGAAAAGGCAAAATTTGTAAGGACAAAAAACGAATCTGTGCTTGCCAGGGCTTGTCGGGGAGGGGAGCCGCTGACTGCAAAGGCGCAGCCCGAGAATTTGTGGGTAACAGAACTGTTCTGCATCACGGCTCTGGGAGTAAAGTCATGATTCTATGCATTTGTCCAAAATCATAGAATGATATACATAAACAGTGAATCTCATTTAAAAAAAAAAAAAATCAACCAAAATCGGGGAAGGGACCGAAAACAATGAACCTAACTATAAACAAACTGGACTGCAGGTCTGGGTCACGGTCTCTAAGCTGCCCCTACAAAGGAGTCCCATGAAGGAAGGCCGCCATGGCACGATTATGGGAATCTCATCCACACCGGCATCCAGCGACACGTGCAGACATCAGACACACTGGTTCCCGAGCTCAGAGGCAGTGAAGAAAATGGCTCTGCAGGCCTGACAGCAAGAGACAGGCCTAGACCAAACCAGCACTACCTACAGGCAAGCCTCTGGGCGCCGTGGCCACAACCTGGGTCTTTTTAGTGACACTTGAACACCTGGCCTCAGATAAAGAAAAGCCTTCATTACAGGATCTTTGGGTATTTTACAGAAAGTTCTTCCCACTGTCAGTCAAGCTGCCATTTCACCTATTCCTTCAGCCAACATTTGCCGAGCACGTGTGAGGTACCCGGACCTGGGGCTGGCCTAGGGGGAAAGCCGGGAAAACCAACCCGTCGTTTCCATGCTGCATTAGGACAGAAAGCAGAGCCCGTGAGGCGGGGCTGGCATGCCAGGAGAGCACTGGGGAAGGGCACGGGGCCAAGGCGGGGAGGTGCAGCAAAGGACGAGGCGCTCGAAGTTCAGGACACCTGCCACAGACAGGGTCAAAAGCGTCAACGCATTCGCTTGCTGTCTGTCTTCTCCAAGAAACAAACTCCAAGATGTTCCATTTCTCTAGCATCTAGCTCTGTGTCAGGCGCACAGTAGGGCAGTATTTACTGAATACATACATGAAGGAATAAGTGAATGAATGAATAATCAGAAAATGATACAGGAGCTTGGTCTTAAAGGGGAAGCAGGCGGTGGCCAGGGGAAAAGAGGTGCCAGAGAAAGAGAAGAGTGTCTGCAAAAGTGCAAAAGCCAGAGAGCAGGAACGACGCGAGGCTGGTGGGTGGCAAGGACCTGGCCCTGAAGGGACTTGGGTGCCCTCCTAAAGAGGCAGAATGGGGAACTTGGCAGGACACTGACATCATCAGACAAGGGCACCGCTGGGGAAGATGCTGGTGAGGAGAAGACAGGTGCGCAGTCTGCACAGAAGGAGACTAGCTCAGGCCAGAGGCCGTGAGCCCGCTTGAGAGATCCACGAACTGCAGCCTGGAGTTTGGGCAGCAGGCTGGTTGCAGGGTAGACACAGGAGCTTAGCCTGGCCCTGGGGCAGGACAAAGAGCACACAAGCATTCCCACGGGAGGGGAGAGGAGAGTCACCAGGCAAGTTAGGAACTGAGAGACACAACCACAGCCAGATTCAGAGCCCAAAGCCCACCCAGGCCTCCCCGTTTTTTGCAGATGAGGGGACAGAGGCCCAGAAAGGAAAGTGACTTGCCTAGGTCATACAGGGAGTCAATACTGTGAGCCTAGTCTGCCAACCCTCCCACCGCCCCTTAGAGGCAAGTGTGTGTTTTTGCTGGGGAGTGTGCATGTCTGGTCCTCCTACCAGCTCCCTGACTAGCTGGCACCTCCACCCCCATGCCAGGGTGAGCTGAGCACCCTGGGAGCCTTCTGCTCCAGCCAAGGAGGTGCCCAGACACTTGCTCTACTTCCTGTCATTCAGCCTGCACACGCGGCTGTGTTTCTATTTATGCTCGGGAGCCACAGGCTGCTCGGAGAAGCTGGCACACACTCACCAGGGCAGATCTGAAGCAACCTCTCCAGCTGCCTCTGACAATGCAGGCACCCCGAAACATCTGCTTTTTACAAGAAATCCTTTCCCTTTAAATCTCCGAGTATTAAATCTAACAATTAGTGACCTCTGAGTCATCTCTCACTAAAATCCCCAGGCAAAACTTTTAGATCACATGCTTCCAATGACTGACATTATATCATACTGCAGAAATCTGGTCAATAAGGCAGTTAATCAAGACACTGATTAACTGGGTTCACTTCCTTCCAAAAAAATCTAGACGGCCGGGCATGGTGGCTCTTCCCTGTAATCTCAGCACTTTGGGAGGCCAAGGCAGGTGAATCACCTGAGGTCAGGAGTTCGAGACCAGCCTGCCCAACGTGGTGAAACCCCGTCTCTACTAAGAATATTTTTTACATTAGCCGAGTGCCTGTAATCCCAGCTACTCACTCAGGCCTAATTAAATGTATAATCCCAAACCAGCCTCCTCATCATCCCAGTGCCAGTAAGTTAGTCCAGATGTGCCTTGTCCAGCACAGTAGCCACTAGCCATTAGTGACCACTGAGCACGTGAAAGGTGGCCAGTGCCACATGATAAAATCTTTTGGATCCACTGAATTAAATAAAATAGTATTAAAATTAATTTCACCAGTTTAGTGTGGCTACTTAAAACTTTTAAAGTACATATGTGGTTCACATATATCTCTACTGAACAGTGCTAGTCTATACCACAATGGCAAATATATTCCATTTTGAGAGCCAGGGTTGGTGGGAGATTTGGCTTGGCAGGAAACGGCACTTCGGAATTATAATGTAGGCCAAGAGCAGGGGGCCCACAGGTGTGTGGGGCAGCCAACAGCACTGCCCTTCCACAGCACCTTATCTTGAGTTATCAAGATAACTTCTCTCTTTAAACAGGTGCCTCCATAGCTCCAACCACCCCATGGTCCATTAAAGTCCAAAGAGAGGCCAATATTCTTGAGGAACCCAGGCATCTGGGCAAGATGCCTGGTTGACTCCTGGCATGAGATCTGATTGAGAACTGGAGGAGATCTGCCTAATTCCTACTTCTGAGATACTCACAACAAGCAAACATTTTCCTTTGTGCCAAGAATAAAGGACACAGCTTTAGTGCCTTTATTCAGCGCTCCCAAAGTGGGCTAAGTAGGACCTCTGAGTGCTCTGGCTGTACCTTGCTGGGTCTATCACCAGGAGTTCCCTCTGCTGAGCCTCAGCTCAACTGTGACAATGAGCCAGTCCGTGCAGAAGCTTACCGCCGGGATCACACAGCACTCACCAAAGACACACCCGCCAGAGGGGTGAGGGCTGGGAAAGGATCACCATCTGCCCGCCTGCCCCTCAGAATAACCATTTAAAATGCTGTGGTCCCAAGTTCTAGAGAACCAGACAGGCATTCCACTCATGCTAAAAGAAAGAGTGACCAGGCAGAGCTCCACAGATCAGCGGAGGACTGGGAGCCGACGCCAGGCAAGCACTCGACAAGGAGCCAGGTGTCAGCGTGTGCTGTCTGACGGCTCACCCAGGCCATCTGAGTCTCCCCTAACACCAATCTCTCCAGCTCCTTCCTACTCACCCTTCGAGGTCCAATGCAAAGGCCACCTCTCCAGAGCAGGTTTCCCTGACCTGGGTGTGCATTTTCTCTTCACTCTCTGAATGCGGAGTTCAGAGAACCTTGCGCCCAGGTAGCCTTCCCATGGGGATGAGAACACTCCCTGCGCGTTCCCCACTAACCTAAGTTCCAGAGACCTGCTGGTCTCAACATGACCCAAGATGCCTTGCACAGCGCCTTGAACATAGCTCAACGCTCAAATATCTGACTCCTCCTCTCACGTTCAATTGTTGCTACTTCCTCAACACTGCTAAAATCCCAGGTCAAATATGGCACCGATCCCAACGTTAAGAGACCAAGCCACACAACTTGGAAAGCCATTGTAGTTGTCTCCTACATGGCTACATGAACGTCCTGAGGGAGGGAGAGGGGCAAACAAGGATTGGGTGGGCACAATTCTACATGGCAGCCATCTGCTGCCTTTGGGTGCCAAGACATACGGGCACCAGTTCAGAAAAGAAAAGCCGGCCACCCACATTCTGCATGAGGTGGGAATGCTGTCCTTCACAGCTGGCTGAGAAGTACCATGTGATGCCCCAGCTGCTCCCACAAGCTGTTGTCCCCAGGTCT